GCCCCTCTGGGCAGCAGTATTTTCTGCATCTGCAAACATATCAGGAAAGCTTTAACAAAAATTGTATTAGTTTACCTTTCTCTTGAGGGACCTTACTGAAGCTGTACAAAGAAGCCCAGAGACTCCAACGTCTTGAATTTTTCCTAACAGTTTCCTGATGTGAGAGCCTTGCTGGGCACTTTCTGAGTCCCAGGACGTAACAGGAAACAGCTTAAGCAGTCGTTTTGTTACGGGTTAATGACCAGGGCAGCTAACTTCATGGGCGAGAGGTGTCCTCACGCCCTCTCCGTCATACCTCTTCGGCCTGATTCAACAGTCTCGTCTGTAACTTACCTCCCTCTTCCGTGATACATGTTCCACCAGGAGCCTTCGGGGTTCAAGAAAGAAAACTGATAAAAAGTACACGGCGTTTTGTTTGGTCCATGTAACCACAGGGACGTGATGAGGTGACTCATCACGTAGAAGGACCCGGCTCAGTGCTCTTTGTTTGATTCCTTGAGTTCTTCTTTCTTCCACGTGTTGACTATTTTGTAATCACGGAACGACCACAGAGATTCTGGGCATCTCATTGGCCTAGCGCGTCATCCAGAGCCTTTGTCCCAGCATTCCAAGCAGGTTAGGTCACATGTCCACCTCTGACCCAATCACTATCACTGGTCCAGGGGATTGGCCTGCTTTGAGGGACTTGCTTCAGGTACAGGCTCCAGTCCTGAATCCAAGAACCACATCAGGGTTTCCAAGTTAATCTTCAGTAGGTGTCAATAGTCTTGGAGCCAAGACCAGAAATTTTACAGTAATTTTGAGAAGGACCCTTTTAGGAGGACGTTTACAAGTTCAATCACATATCTAAGAAGGATCAATTAAATGATGAGAACTGAAGGCAGTATTTTTCATAGCATTGGCAATTAAAATCATTGAAGAGGGATTTGTTGATTGTATTTGATTTGAATTTAATTGAGCATACATCTTCTAGACCACAAAATTTTATTTTCATTCTAAAGCTTGCACTGGAACAATGATATGGAGACTTCTCTAGCTCATTCCTTTATTGGCTTGCTTTTTGAATATCTAATTGCAACAGTATTTGGGAAATTGTAATCTATTTGTGAAATGTATAAAAATCCACTTGTGTTTCATAAGGGGCTTAAGAAAATTACAGGCAGAAGAAAAATAGATTATGGCCTATTATAAGTTTAATGAGATGCAAATGCTATTAAATTATGATTACTTTTCTTTGGGGAAGAGCAGATTTAAACAATTCTAAATAACATGTAATTTTTTAGTGCTGAGATCTAACAATAATAAATTAGAAATTAAAAATCACACATATATTGAATTACATCTTGACTTTCATAGATAATAATTTCATTGTAGTAGACCAAATTGCAGACTGCTTATAGCTCAAATGTTCTATGTTTCTCATTATGTGAAAGGTGGCCATTATTTTTTTTGTATGGGTAAAATAATGAAATAAAGACAAATCGTCCAAGTTATATCGACAGTCCTTCAGAAATCACACAATTAGCTTCTTACAAGTGGACTGACCAGTTTTAACCAGCTGGGAAAAAAAAACCACTGGAATGGCATAGGGAGTTTAAGCCAAGTGAAATTATCTGATGATTACTGAGCTTTCTAGGGAAATAAATGGTACAGACTGGATCTCACCAGTCCCCTTCATTCATTACCAGTTCCTGGGGGAGATATTTTGTCTCTGTAATAGAAAAACGTCACCCTAAGTTGCTCTTTGCTCTTTGGGAGTGGCAGCTGGCCAAGAACTTCAAGGTCTGAATAGGACATGATCGCCACCTAGTGGCCACAGACAGGGCCCCGTGTGTGATTTTTCTTGGCGAGTAACAAGTAAAATGATGTAGTAAAAAGATCTATGGAGAGAAATCTTAACGCCCGCATCACTTCCCCCTCATCCAAGTTTGATCCGATTTTGCCATTGTCAGCTAATTCCTGCAAACATTCAGCTAGTGCAACTAAATAACATGAACTTAATCACACTGTTCTCCATCCTGAAGCCCTATGAAGCGCCAAAGAATAAAATAAAAATAGTGGTCAATGTTTTTTGACTTGAATGGAATCAAGTGTTTATGCTATGAACAAAGAATAAAACAGGACATTCCTACTTTCTTTTAAATTAGCTTCCTATTATTTTTCCCCAAAGGTGTCTGCCCAGGAGATGCAAATAAAACATTTCAGTCAGAATTGCATTTTTCCAGAATGGTCAAGGAGTGAAAAAATCCAGATACAAGTTTTCTTCCTTGGCAGCCACTTCTGCTGGGAAGGAAGAAAGAAGGAGGGACAAGCAGGGAGGTATCTTAACAATGTCCCCTGGTTGCAGATTTAGTGAACAAGAAAATGAGAACACCCACATGGTGCATTTTTCAAAAGTTAAGGAGGCAATACATGTTACCTACTAGTTGGCATTCTACTAGTTGGTTTAGACATCTTATAAAGCAATACAAGCATATGCTAACAGATCCCAGGGATTGTTGTCTGTTTGTTTTTGTGAGACGGGGAGGTGGTCTTTGTGTGTCTGTGAATATGTGTTATTTGCGTGTGGGTGTCTCTGGTGGAGGAACAGGCCTTCTGATTCATTGGCAAGGTTACCCATGGATCTAGACAAAGAAGTCCATTATCACAAAGGCCTTCCTGGGTCGGGTGTTGTGTTTCCATAGCAACCCGTGGGTGGGTTTAGCCAGAAAAGAACAGGGGCCCTACGCAGAAAGGACAATGATGACAGCGATGGCTGGGCAAAAGGAAGCCCAGGGAAGATGAAAGTGTTGTAATAAGAAGTGCCTATATGGCCTGCACCAGAGATTCTCTTTTAAAATTAGTACTAATTAAAAATAAATAAATCACATTCACGAGGTTAATAGAGGCAATTGGCAAATAATTGTTTGATCATAACATTAAAGAATGGAAATACAATGCCTTGGGGAGGACTTTCAGCTCACACTGAAAAGAGAAAAGGGAGTAAGTCAGGTTGGGGAAGCAGATTTGCTCAGGATGTTCCTGGGGAGAGGTACTAGATAATTCGAACCAAATGGGGTGGTTATTTTTGATGTCTTTTAACTTCTCCTTCACCCATGAAGCCTCCCTTGACTAGGTAAGGAGAATGGAGGTTTTAAAAACCTGTTACGAGTCCTTTTATTGAGACGTCTATCCAAGATGTCAGAGTTCGTTAAAATTAAAAATAACATTCGATATAAGGAAATAAAAAGTCAAAGATGTGTACAATTTAAAAAGGGGTATCTGTCTGTTTATGGTCATGTCCATAGCACGCGTCTTCTCGGAGCTGTGAGCTCCTGGGAACGGGTGCTCTCGAGAGCACCCCGGGACCAATGAAGGGCCAGAAGTTACCTGAGTGGGTGCATTTGCCCATTGGGAGGAGGCTTCCCCAGCAGCGACGTGCTGGAGCCAGCTCACATTGCTGCACCACTACCCACAATGTCCCTCCTTCCAGGGACTTCTCTCTCTTGCCCACTAATCCTGATAAGGATGAGAGTAACTAGTAATAATGAACATTTAGAAATCTCATCACCATTTACCAAACATCTTCACCTCTACTTGTTGAACGTAGTTGATACTACTATTGGCCCTAGAGGAGCAACCACATTTTTTGAGGTCAAACAGTTCACCTGTGGATGATGAGTGGTGTTCCCATCTCCCTCTTCTGACAACAAAGTCCTGGGTAATAATAGCTACAAGCTCCTATTCCTTCCAAAAGTGCTTTCAGTTTTATGGGTACCTTTCACCACCGACCTATAAGCCTTTTGAAACTCAAGGATTCAGTTTCCAATGTTGGGACTGTAGATTATTTAAATCATGTCTAGAGTTCTTTGCCCTAAATAATATGAGCACCCTCCCGACATGGCTTCTCCGTCATTGGCCCTGCTCTCCGAGGGTGGATAGGCTGCTCAAAGCTTAGCCACGTGGTTCAGTTTGGAACATATCTCACAACATCCAGAATCAACGGTGTTGCTGTTAACCATTAAGTAGAACATTCTTCCTAAGGATGCCATGAGTTTGTATTTGATGCATCTCATCATATAACCAGCTGAAGAGTCCTACTCAGTTTTCTGCAACAGATCAGTTTAATTACTATCTATATGCTTTATTATATTTTGAAATATTAATTAAATAACTATCCTTTCCCCCTTCATTCTGATCTAAATCCAATGACTATCCTGACTAACTCTGCATGCATAATGCATATATGTCTTTTGTATTCCTAGGGAAAGGAATGATGGAAATGTTTAAAATATATATGTGTATATATGTGTGTGTGTATATATATAAAGCAATAGTAGTATCTGCTTTCAACAAATAGAGGTGAAGATGCTTGGTAAATGGTGATGAGATTTCTAAATGCAAAAGCCAGAGAATGCATGTGGCCTAAATACAGCCTCAAAACAAGATGGTTTTCTGTTGTATACCCAGACTGTTACAGAAGGTTTAAAAGAAAATGTGGTCAGTTTGTGCACTCACTAATTTTTTGGTGTGTTTCTCAAAATTCATTATTGAAAGGATATTAGTCTTTCTTATTATTGGAACTTTTTGTTTTCTAATGTTGAGGTTACCAAGTAGTACCAATACATTTGCTATCCGATCATTTTGGGGGGAGGAGAAAGAATATATATATATATATATATATATATACATATATATAAAGGCATAGCAACTCTGTAAGGGAGTCAGGATTCTTGGCTTCCTGACCTGGCTCTACTTCCAACTAACTGGGTGATCTTGGGCAAGACACTTAACCTGCATCTGAGTTTCCAGATGTAGGTGAGGTTGTTTCTGGATCTTTTACTTTTCAAGTATTCAACTCAAGGCTGCCATTAATTTATGACTAATTAATCAAACAGTACAAACAATGTAGTTACTCTTCATTTTAATAGTGTATCTTTAGCTTTTTAGCATAGGTAAGTGTATCTCAGAGTGTCCAAACAGATTCTATTAACTCTCTAGAAACTTTGTGACCAGAAAAATGCAAAGACCAGAGAATGCACATGGCCTCAAATATGGCCTCAAAACAAGATGGTTCTCTGTTGTATACCCAAACTGTTACCAAAGGTTTAAAAGAAAATGTGGTCAGTTTGTGCACTTGCTGATTTTTCAGTGTGTTTCTCAAAATTCATTATTGAAAGGATATTAGTCTTTCTTATTATTGAGATTGTTTGTTTTCTAATGTTGAGGTTACCAAGTAGTACCAATACATTTGCTAGCTGATCATTTTGTGGGGAGGAGAAAGAATAGATAGGAAACCAATACTCAAGAGAAGGATAAGAGTTGGGTGAAAAATCTTTAAAAATTGGTTAGGAAATCTTTACCTAATGCATATTTAAAAGTAGAGTAATTTCCATAACGATAAAATAAAAATTTTAAAGAATATATTATTTCAAATTCTTTAGTTATTCTAGGTCCAAAAAGAAGTCTCTGACTATAGTTTTAATATAATAAATGCCTTTTTTGTCAATAGTATGTCCTTTTGCCTAGACATTAACCTTCTGATAATTTCAACTGTGTTGTACTCAACTATAAATTTAAAAACTCAAAATGAAACAAAAATACTATGATTTGAAAAAAAATGAAGGTTTTTGAAAAACCTTTTACAAAGCTCACGTGCTTCATATCATGGAAGAGATATTCAAAATCTCATTTGGAGCCTGTTTATTTTTACTTTATAAAGAGGTCTAACAAGCTCAGTGACATGTTTTCCAAACTGATGTAAGCTTCATAAGGCTTCCTGAGACCATTTCTTTTGTAACTCAAATATTTAACACAAAACCTAGTATGTAGAGTGTGCTCAATAAATATTTGTTAACTAATGAGAAGATTAGAAGCAGTATTAGTTGGTAAGGTGGTGGGAGATAGGCACAGACAGTTGGAGAAATGATAGCTGACAGCTTGAAATGCATAGAAAAAGTGAGAAAAATCATGGGCTCCGGACCTACACATAAATCATAAAAATCATGCATCTTACTAACCTCTGAGGGATGATGGCATAGATACAAATGCAATTTCCATCAACAATAATGATCCCGAGTCATTAGGAAAATATTAAGTTTTGTTTAATCATCATTTAGTAAAAGTCAGGGATCTATACAATGTACCTTAAAAATATTTTTAAAAAATTTCCATATGAGAGTATTAAAATGTTCACTCATTTGGACAACTTAGTCCCCTCCCTTGCTGGATTTCTTTTTCAAAATGTAATCTTGATG